TCTAGCGGTAATACGGTCGCAGATCGTAGGTTGACTGCCTAGACGCTGAGTGAGGGTACCTATAGCAAAGCGTTATTAGGTGGAATAGGCCAAACGGGCGACTGTAAGTCCGGCGGTGTATTACCCCCGTATTTTCCACTGTTCCAGTTATCGGTTAATCGTCGACTTCGACTTCTCAGGTATCCTTCATCACGAAGAGTTCGTGGTGGAGCTGAGAGGCGGATGTCGGCGTTTAACTGGTAGCTGGAGGAATGTTAAATGCGGGTTTTTTGCACTTTTTCGCAGTAAAATTTTTATATCTACTAAATTTTTGATTAACTGCATAATTAAATGAAATGAACCAAATTGTTTCATTAATTTTTATTATACCATATTTTCAATACAAGTGTAGACTCCCAAAGCCGATTATAGGTAAAAAGTTTTTTTTATTAGAAAAACAAGCACCAACATTTCGTTTTTACAAAGTAAAATTGAAAAGAGAATAAGGAATAATGTATTTTCAATATTTATAAATTTTAAACCTTTTTTATTTTTTGAAAGCTATACCATTATAGAGGTGATTGCAGTCAATTTTTAATATTTTTTTAATATAACAAAGTGGTTTACTATTAGGAATAGCTTTTTATCTTTTATTCTCCGAATACTTCCTCACTTTGAACAATAGTCCGAAAGAGGAAGATATTTTGCACGTTTTAGAAGTTTGTATAATTTAAACTTTTCAAACTTTGTCTATTTGTTGATATGTGGGGACTAATTTCGGAAACTAACGAACCAAAGTTAATAGCTCTTCCATTGTTTGAAATGTATATCATTATTGAGGTGGTTGTAGCTAATTTTTAATGTTTTTTAAATATTTTAAAGCATTTTTTGTTGTTAGGAATATATTTTTTGACTTTAGTTCGAGCGTAACTTTCTGTCTTTCGTACTCCGAATACTTTCTCTCTTTAACAGTTGTGTGCTTGAACGTTCGACCGACAGAACAAGATATTTTGGCTCCTTTTAGTATAAATAAGTATAAATAACAATTAAAAATGTATTTTAAAAAGTAATGCGTTATTTTTGTGGAAATTAAACCTTTTTAAACTTGTATTACAAAGGGAATGTCTTAGTTTGTCTATTTAATGATTTGTGGGGGCTAATTTCGGAAACTAACGAATCAAAGTTAAACGCTCTTTCTTGGTTTGAAAGCTATACCATTATCGAGGTGGTTGTAGCTTATTTTTAATTTGTTTTAAATATTTTAAAGCATTTTTTGTTGTTAAGAATATATTTTTTGGCTTTTGTTCGAGCGTAACTTTCTCTCTTTCTTTCACCGAATACTTGCTCTCTTTAACAGTCGTATACTTGAACGCTCGACCGACAGAACAAGACATTTTGGCTCGTTTTAGTATAAATAACCATTAAAAATGTGTTTTGAAAATTAATGCGTTATATTTGTGTAAATTAAACCTTTTTAAACTTGTATTACAAAAGGAATGTCTAAGTTTGTCTTTTTAATAATATGTGGGGACTAATTTCGGAAACTAACGAACCAAAGTTAAAAGCTCTTTCATGGTTTGAAATCTGTACCATTGTCTAGTTGGTTGTAGTTTATTTTTAATGTTGTTTAAATATTTTAACGCATTTCTTGTTGTTAAGAATATATTTTTTGGCTTTTGTTCGAGCGTAACTTTCTCTCTTTCTTTCACCGAATACTTGCTCTCTTTAACAGTCGTATACTTGAACGCTCGACCGACAGAACAAGACATTTTGGCTCGTTTTAGTATAAATAACCATTAAAAATGTGTTTTGAAAATTAATGCGTTATATTTGTGTAAATTAAACCTTATTAAACTTGTATTACAAAAGGAATGTCTTAGTTTGTCTATTTAATAATATGTTTGGGCTGATTTGGGAAATTAGCGGATCAAGGTTAATAGTTCATTCATTGTTTGAATCTGTACCATTGTCGAGTTGGTTGTAGCTTATTTTTAATGTTGTTTAAATATTTTAACGCATTTCTTGTTGTTAAGAATATATTTTTTGGCTTTTGTTCGAGCGTAATTTTCTCTCTTTCTTTCACCGAATACTTGCTCTCTTTAACAGTCGTATACTTGAACGCTCGACCGACAGAACAAGACATTTTGGCTCGTTTTAGTATAAATAACCATTAAAAAT